AAGTGTTTTCCACAGACTCTTTGTTATAGACTTGGGTGAGATAGACAGCTGGTTTCTTAAGTTCTTTAGGATTCCATTCCCTAGCTTTTCATTTGTTTGTAGAGGGAGGATTACTTGAAATCATGAAGACATGTCTATTTGGGGTATTTATAATATAATAGCTATTATACAATATATATAACATACAACAGCTATTCCTCTCAGATAATCTAAGGAATATTTTTTAGGCTTTTCCCTTGTCCATATTCTCTCTGTCTTAAACTACTTTTCTAAAATGTAAAGATAGTTCTCCTGATCAACTCCTCTTTTTTTTTTTTTTAATTATGTTTATTGGGGTAACATTGGTTAATACAATTATATAATTTTCAAGTGTACATTATAATTTAACATCTGTATATTCTATTGTGTGTTTACCACCCAAAGTCCAGTTTCCTTTACCTACCATATATTTGATCCCCTTTACCCCATCTACTTCCCCCCTCCTCCTCCACCCCCTTCCTTCTGGTAACCACTAGTCTATAGTCCATGTTTATGAGTCTCTGTATGTCCTGTTTCTTTGTTGCTTTTAGGTTTATATCCCACATATAAGTGATATCATGTGATTTTCAACTTTTTCTGTCTGGCTTATTTTGCTTAGCATGATTATCTCGAGGTCCATCCATGTTGTTGCAAAGGCTGTATTTCATCTCTTCTTATGGCTGAGTAATATTCCATTGTATATATGTACCACAGCTTCTTTAGCCAATCATCTATCGTAGGACACTTCAGTTTCTTCCATGTCCTGGCCACTGTGAATAATGCTGCTATGAACGTTGGTGTGCAAATATCTTTATGGATATGATTTTTTAAGTCTTTGGGGTAAATACCCAGTAGAGGGTTTGCTGGATGATATGGTAGGTCAATTCTTAGTGTTTTGAGGAACCTCCATACTGGTTTCCATAGCGGCTGTACCAATTTGCAGTCCCCCCAGCAGTGTATGAGGGTTCCTTTTTCTCTGCATCCTCTACAGCATTTGTTATTACTTGTCCTGTTGATTATAGCTATTCTAACAGGTATGAGATGGTATCTCATTGTGGTTTTGATTTGCATTTCTCTAATAGCTAGCGTTGTTGAGCATCTTTTCATATATTTGTTGGCCATTTGTATGTCCTCTGGGGAGAAGTGTCTGTTCAGATCCTCTGCCCATTTTTTGATTGGATCATTTTTTTTGTTGTTATTGATAATTCATCGTTTTGAATGAAGCTGATCGTTTTGTTCAACCCTTATTCAGTTTCAGTGGCACTGTGGAAGTGAAAACTTTTTTAGAGTGGGTTCAAAAGAGAGAATGGGAACTTCTGGACCAGTAGATACATGGTAACAACTTAGTTCTGAATTTTTCTATTTCTAGAAACTTTGGAGTAATAAAGAGACTAAGGTGGGAGGACCCATAAGTGCTTTTTCAACAAATCTAAGAGATACAGAAAACTTAAATTCCAAATTAGGTGTA